CCCAAAGATCTTGGTTCCTGTCGATATTCGCGCATATCGGACCGTAACTTCCTGAATTATGGCCCCTGATTGTACGAAAAATCGCGTATTTAGCTTGTGGACCCTATAGAGGTCATAACTTTTATCCGATTTAAAAAAAAAAACGTATTATTATATCACCGTTACACCCTAAGGACGACTGAGTTCGAACTTCGTGAAAATTAGCCAAAAACTGACAGACAAAATGGCCGCCCATCGTTCTCAAATAGCTTAAAAATATGGTATATCAAGGTTGTGGACCCTATAGAGGTCACAATTTTTATCCGATTTTGTTGAAACTTGAAATGTAAGTTTATAACCCAAAGGTTTCTGTTCCTTTCGATATTTGCGTATATCGAATTGTAATTTCCTGAATTATGGCCCTTGATTGTAGGAAAAATCACTTTCTTTTTAGCTTGTTCTCTATCCATCACTCGAAAATGTGGGCGTATTCTGCCTGGCAGTCGCTGGTTTATATTCAACAAAACACATTTTCGTACAATGTATAGTTTGTAAATCATTTCAAATTAATAACCTCTAGATAAATGTTTGTAATGTCCGAATTGATTACAATATTGTGATTGCTGAATGTATAAAGGAATTAATATTAGTCCCAAAATGGTTCAATACCGTGCTGTATACACAAAGATCTCATGAACTAAAAATTTGTCAACATTCGGTATCTTCTTTTCAGGCGATATAAACGGCATGGTCAAAAGGCAGCACCATCTGTAATCCTCGCTAAACTCTTTTGATGAGCTTCTTTTTAATCCGATTAAAAACAAGCCTTGGAATTAGATTCTGCTGATATTGTGTCGTAATTAAATCTGAGTACATTTGAACGTAGATGAAGCCGTGGAAAAATGCGAATGACGTACAGTTACTTTAAATGAAAGTATTTCAATTATCATCATACACCAATGTCATTCTTAAAGAAGGAATGTGACTTCATTATTACTATCTTTTATAAATTAACATAAACTGCCAGTGTATTTGATTGACTGGACATGTGATGTCGCCAACTAACTATTGTATTGCCCTTTTTTTCATGAATATTAAAAGTGTATTTCATGTTCGATCTATCACCATCAATAGAGACATCAATTTACTATTTGTTGACAATGCTGACGCGTTTTATCTATACATGTAATATAGTATGTCTGAATCAATCAGTCATTCAATCTTTCAATAAGTCTGGTGCGTACAAGTCATATATTTATCGTGACAGAATATAATTTAACTAAATTACAATTCCGTCTGTGTTTCTGATTTTATACTAGGTTATCATCCAGTCTAGTTTCTATCACCCTGGAGATAAGTGAGTTCGAGATGACATGTATGCCGTCTTGTCACCAGTTACAAACATTCCAGCAAAGATACGTCATGTGCACTAATAACAAACTATTTATTAGTTGATCTGAGTCCGCTCTTGGCCAATAAGGTAACTTACGCTCACTAGAAACTTCGTACTCTATCTCATTTCCCTCTGGGAACGACGGTGGACAAGTGGGTAGGACGCTGACTCGCTAGCCTGGAGGTTGTGTGTTCGATCCCTCCATTAGCCAAGAAAGTTCATCGGGATTTTTTGACCTAATTTCCCCTTGTCAGTAGTGCAGGACGAAGAGCCTGACAATTACAGCTGTCTAGTTGGAGCAGAACAGTAGGGGCGTTAAACCCCATTTCATTTCATTACGCTTTCGTCTCCTGCTGCATGGCCATTTTGTTTAACGTATTTGGTCTAGAGTCTAAGGTTTGAATTGAGATTTTCTGCCATGTTTTGGTAAATATTCACGATTGAGAGACGGGGGGGATATGAGAGCGAAGGGGTTGGTTACAGTGGATAGTTACATGTTTGCTAATTTGCTACAACGTATTTCCAATTTTTGTGTCCCACAAGCTTTGGAGATACAAAATGTTACATGCTACCCCGTCTGTGGTGAGGAGTTTTCAGCCCAACAGATATTTTGGAAATGGTTGTTGCCGGGACAAAAGGCAATGGGGAATATTAGGTGGTCCGCATGCACCTGTAACTTTCTTTTGGTCATGTCACTAAGACTGGATCAATATCTTGAAACGAAATGACCCACGGGTCTTACACCCATGTCCTGTTCCCTCAAATAATTTGCTAGATTGGTATGGAAAAGGATATCGCTGCCAATATTAAATGCTCTGCTAAAATGTCTTTTCCATTGATTATATGTAAAAAGTACAATGTACAAAGTCTTAAAGCTGAACTCCGGTTACAAAAATACCGAAATAATTAAATAAAAAAAAGTTAAATCCCCAAGCCGCCATACTTGTTTCCAATTTATGAAATAATATGGCGGATATGGAGGCTTATGACCTGGAAAGGTTAGCCGATCTCACTTCCAGTTTGTTTCTTTTCAGCCAGCTGTACACATCCGGTTTTATTCTCTATATACGCTTCACCGATTGCTCTATTTTTCCCCCAACAGTATACCAAATTATTGAAGGTTGCAAAATGTCTGATCAGGTCAGCCTGTAAATAATTATATGAACTGCCTACACACACTATTGTCTTCTTCATATTATTATTATTATTGCCACGTCTTCTTGTGAATATCTTACACATATATGTAAATCACCAAAAAAGTTATCGCAGCATAATGTCTAGTGTAATTATAACTAATACTATGCAATAAACAGATAGTTTAGATTAGATTTTCACAGGTCGCCATGTTCGATGTTGTATTATTGAGTCAACTGGCGTGGTTTCGAATCCCCGGTTGTAGGTGACAAGGAGTAGGGTCGCCTGTCCAACCTCGTGGGTTCTCTCCGGATCCTCCGGTTTCCTCCCAGTGCTAAAGACCCAACGCGCAAGCGAATTATTGAATTAAACCAAATGTTAGTCCCGAAATGACCTAGTTTGTGTCGAGTGGACGTTAACCCCCGGGTCTCTCTCTCTCATATCTTTGTTATCTCAACTAACTCAACCCATGCTTTATAAGTGTCCCTCCAGAATGGATTTTCTATCACATCAAATATTTAGATTGGACCCTACCCCGGAAGTACCAAAAGGGAATAATTTCAAATAATTGTCTATGAAAAGACTACAATTACTGTTTTGACAATTATTATTATTATTACAGCATATTTATAGTGCACCCTTTCATATAACATGTTCAGGGGCACTTCACAAAGTGACAATGTAAATCACACATAAACAACAAGATTATGGGCATGTTAACGATTGTATACAGAGTCAGTTAAAAGCCTGATTAAATAAATGTGTTTTAAGTTGTTTTTTAAAAGAATACAGAGATGTACAACATCTTAAACTAAATGGTAGATTATTCCATAAAACAGGTGCTTGATAACTAAAAGAGCGCTGACCATAGGAGACTATAGTTGAACAGTTTTGGGCTTTAAAAGTAGTTTATCTGATGTACGTAATGTTCGGCCAGGTGTATAAAGTTCTAAAAGATCTGAGAGGTAAACAGGAGCTAAATTATTTAAACATTTAAAAGTAAGTAATAAAATCTTAAAATCAATTCGATATTTAACAGGTAACCAGTGTAATTTATATAAAACAGGAGTTATGTGGTCACATTTCTTAGTTAAAGTAACAAGTCTAGCCGCAGTATTCTGTACTTTTTGTAATTTATCTATAAGCTTTAAAGGTAAACCAACTAAAAGTGAATTAAAGTTATCTAATCGAGAAGTGACCAGAGAATTAACAAGTGATCTTCTGATCCAACATATTTTAATACTCTTATTGAATGCATTGATATCAGTCATTGGAAAAGACATTTTAGTAGAACATTTAATATTGGCAGAGACACCCTTCCATATATTGGGTGGGTCGGTTTCTTGGAGAAGGAAAGATAGAATTGGCGTTCAGCATCCACTCGACACAAACTAGGTGACTTCGGGACTAAAATATGGTTCAATTTTATTTCAATAATTCGCTTGCGCGAAGGAGTCTTTAGCACTAGGAGAAAATCGAAGGACCCACTAGGTTGGACAGGCGACCCTACTGCTTGCCACGTACACGCGGGGAAACGAAACCACGCCACATGACAGACCTTCTGATACAACGCGCATGCGTTAACCCCACCCCACCCCTCCAACTGCGCCTGCCGGCCGGCCGCCCGTCCCTCCTCTGCAAAGGCCTAAATTTAACGTCTAGAACAGCCAAAACATTTTTTCAAAGTTATAAAAAAGTTAAGGTAATTAATAATCAAATCTGGTATAAATAAGGCTGACATAAAAAAATTTAACATTAATATTGCGTTTGTTTTGTTTTATGTGGCACTTACTATTAGCCGTCACCTGAGAATTTACGTCGGGTGGGGGGGGTCAACGTTTCAGTCAGTAGGAACAGAAAGCAAACAGATATACAGATATATATCAGTTTTATTTAATTAATAATAATATAATATATTAACTTAAAATATACAAAATATACGACGTAGTCACCAATATACACAACAATTACATATAATATAAACAAAAATAATAAATACATTAGAGACGTTTATTATACTGGATGAATAAAAACTTAATTTATTACTTACTAACTTGATAAGGAATATTAATTTGTATGAGTTTTGGTAAGTTAGCAGTATTCTTATTTCCATTCGTGATCGGAAATGAATACGTTGTGTATGCAAAAACCTTTTCAGACAATTATGTTTCGTTCCATTTATGGTTTTAAAAATCTAAATCTGTTACATAATTGTGTTGTCATTGGTTTTTAATTCGGATCAAAAAAAAAGAAAACATGTGGGCGTATTCTTTGAGAATTCTATAAAAAAAAATATGTACAAATTCAAATAGCACCATTTTATATTTTATTTTTATCTTTAAATATCTTTTTTAAAAAACTAACTCTCTAAAACACCGTCTCTCTGTAGACAACTTTGGATTCATTGTGTTAGGATGCATTAGGCAAAGAAAAAATACATGTGTTTACAGTTACTTGGCTCCAAAAATAGAGTCGGTAGGTCGGTCGGATTATCTTTTATTTTTAGCTTTTTATCACCTTATTTATTAATAATTTTAATTTTTTACTATTTCATTTTCGTGGAATTTGTTTCATCTATATTGTCTTGCATTTATAGCTTAATTACAGAGTAGGATTCTTGAAAATCACGCCAAGTTTAGGGATCGGTCGAGTAACCGTAATCACAGGTATTTCTTTTATTTTCTGTCTGAAACTATGTTTAATAATACTAGTGGAGTTATCGCCCGTTAATCGTGCTTGTGCTGACCTGGGGCATTCTATAGAAAGTTGCTTGCAATACAAATAACCCACAGGAAACTAAGTAGGGATATTTTTTCAGTTTGAAATTAATTAGTTACATGGAACTTTGTATGAGACTATTAGTGGCAAAAGAACTTAAGCAAGGACCTCTGACCACTCATTTCAATTTATACTTCATTGTTAAACGTCTTTAAGAGAAATGAATGAAAGATTATTATGGTAGCCTGGTCAAAAATACCCGTTGTTGTTAATCAAAATATGTTAATCCGGCTTTAGCGGGATTTCAATGATATAAATAACACGCTCGTCGCCTCCAGCTGAAGAATCCTTGTATTTTTACATAACAAGGTATGTCCCATTTCAAGCCAAGGTACCGGATCTACACATGAAACATCGCCTCGCCTCACATCGTCAAACAACGTACCCATGACGATTTTCATTGTTTGCGTGTACAAGCACAATCGCTGGTTTAATGTTCCACAAACATAATTATATCTGGTGGAGAAAATCAAAGGATAGGCTCTCGTTTACACATGAAACCATTATTGTCTATTTTACTGGGTAATAATTCGGTATTTACACTGGAGCTAGGACTAGGGTTATATCCATTTATAGATGGGCACTCCTGAAAAATATGAAAACAATTAGTTATAGATGAACGTGTAGATACGAAATCAAATGGCGAGGTCCTAATTTACCGTGTTCAAGTTCAGCCACGGGTGATGAAAAGGGCCAGTTCACTGAAGCGATATTCGTAAGCAAATCAAATTTAAAGGCTGTTCAACAACAACTGCTGCTAAAATCTAGACCTCGCTATCCATAGAATTATTCCCTTCGCATCCTCAAGAAATTTATTTTCCGACCACATAGCCGATCATGACTCACATAAGAATGTTGGAGCGTTTGGATAATATTCCCTTTTTGTTTGGATTGTTTCGCTTACTGTTAGTTGCTTTTCATTTTGAGTGAAGCAATTATCACTACAAGCCCGGGCCTATACAGTGCAGTGGACGCTCACGGCCGGGTCACAGATCCCTTCAATTGATACGATATGTGCTTGTTGTTTACTGCTTACTATGTCTAGTCCGTTGTTTTGTCTTATGAGATTTTGTTTATTTCCGTTTAGGTAAAGGTAAACAAACCATGCTTACGTTTATCGTTGTAATTATTTCTAGCGGCAATTCAACTACTGGGCCAATTAAAACAGATTTCTTAAAGTCCGGTATAAAGGTCAGGACAAATGTGACAATGGCGCCTGCTGTTAACCATTCTGTTGCTGTAGAGATCAGGTAGGGAATTCGTAACGTATCCTGAAGAAAAATAAAAACAATTTTTATACGTGTAAACACAATTTAAGAAACAAAGATAGATGCCCTAAGGAAGATAATCTATGGGATATTTGATGACTTGTGGATAGTGCAAATTGGGCGATTTCAATTCTAAACGTCATTAAAGGTGCATCTCCGAACTTTCAACCTGTACAACAATATGACCATATGTAGTAGAAAAATAAGGGGTTAATTGTGACTGTTTAAATCATTAAATCATTGTTGATATTACAACGAGCATAATCATGTTCACCGACTTACCCATTTTGTTCCGAGACCATTTAACTCGCTTAGTTTATAAATAGCTTTAGATATGATAACTTTAAATCATTAAGGATAATAATATTATTATGTAAACTGAAAGTATCATTTTATTTAATGATTCAATTTACATCATTATGTAAATTACCATAAGGTAGAAACATTTCAATTTTAAATAGTTCAAAGTCATTGGGCGGAGCTATTGAAATTTCAATATTTTCTTTTTCAAAATTAAGGATACATGTTATTAGGAATGCGGTAAGAAAGGCACTATTCACAAACTGCCACACGGCCACATAACTATTCTTTAAAGCATGGCGTAATTTCCATGATAATGAAGACTGGATCCAACAGTAAACAGTACCAAGTACAAAGGCGAGACCGGCACCAACATAGTGAGCAGCTTTGATATCAACAGTCTGAAATAAAGAAAATACATTTTGACAATATTTTCTAACCAAAGAATGTAACGTTCCGTAAATTGAAAGAGGGGGCACTAATTGCACGGATGGGCACCAACAAGACGATTTTCCTTGCCCTGCTATACCGTCCTGGGGAGATCAGACAGGAAATTCAATGTGCCACCTCGCGGCATGTACCGTATACGATCCAGGGACTGTTCAGAACATTGATACCACTTTTCGTTTGGTGTGTTCAAAAAACTAAAATATGTTTTGGGTACTTCATATGTAACACTGGTAAAATCTATTAAAGATACATTTCCGCGTACAAACTGGGGGTGATTTGATGATATATTAAGACTAAAAACAAATTCAAACCAATTAATTTATCATAATTTTGCTTCAAATCCGTCTCAAAGCATTGTAAAAGTCAAGGAATACCCCTGCTTTAAAAAATCTGCCAAAAAAGGTTTTGTCTCTGTCACGTGACTTACCTCTCTCGGTACCTAGCAAGGGTGCGAAGCCGGGGGAGGATTCATTACATATACAAGACGATGTTGTCTTTAATCGCTAACTATTTATTACAAATATCGAAGCCCATTAAATTCTCGGATTATCCACTGCCCAGTTTTTTTTCCGTGGTTTTTAACTCAGAAACTGTTGCGCCACCAAGTTTATGAAAATACACCAAACGCTCACTAGCGCTGGGAGATACGGCATTCTTCGCGTGCTACCTTTGACGTTACTCGAGCGGACATCATTAATCGTCGGGTTGCCGGTTAGGGAAACCCTCACATTTTGCCCTGTGTGCACTCCATGGGTGTTTTTCATGGAATCCAGTATTTTTCTAGTAAGATTGGATGTTTCTACTTTCCATATATACCAAAATTGACATACTTTTATTGGAAATAAACACCCGATAAATACTTTTATTGGAAATAAACACCCGATAAATACTTTTCTTGGAAAGTATCTTTAAGTATCTAAAAAACCACGTGTGATGGTTTACACATTGAAGTACATGTATATGTCTCAATATGTAACTATAAACAGATAACATGTCTAACAAATAAACACATGTTGGAAATGAAATGGGATTTAACGTCCTATTGAGCTAATGAAGACGGGAACACGTGTAGGATACATTTTCTAAATTACTTATGAGCCTAAAACTTTGGTCGACTTAATCTAGCATAGCTCCAATGTTATGGTCAATAATTCTGACCAATAACTAATAAAAATAATTGAAGATAGGATGTTTCACATTGGCATGACTTGCATTCTAGCAGGGGTTCACATTCTAAAAATGGTGTAGACATATGTCTTGGTCTGTAATCTAGATAGATATTGACTATGAAATTACAGATGCTCCTGGCACACATGGCGTTCTAGCACTTGGTTAAGTATAGGTATAAAACATGCGCGTGCAGCTGTTAATAACTGCATATTCTACATCAATCTATTATAAAATAAACATCATTTTCCTTATCTGGGTTACAGGTAAACAATTGCTGATCTTTAACAGGTGCTGAGGCCCGCCCTAACGAGACAATAGCCATGTGCACATGTATGTGTGTTAATCCTTGATATAGATCAGATACATGTACCAGATATGTAGCAGAGATACAGGTGTGTGATTAGTAATACTCATCATCGTCAACAACTCACCACTGTGCGTTGTGTGGGAAGATTTCACAGAGAGGGAGAAAAATAAAATTGTGTTTCAACGTCCTACTTTTCTGTACCACCCGGGCATATGTGCAATGTGCTATAAACAAACATTTTCCCGGACATTAGTGCTATTGCCTACTCTTATTTCAAACTGCAACTATCAAGGGTTATTTTACGTGCACGACAATTTGTACACGGGACCTCGATTTTTCAACCCATTGAAGCGACTAGACACTTCTCCTTGCCAGACCCTCCGTTCTGCACCAATGGTAAGAGATAAACCAAAATGGGAGAGAGTGAGACAAGTGAGAGGGAGAGAGATATAGAGAGCGGCTTGGGGACGGGAAGGGAAAGGAGAAGGTGGGGCGGTGGAGGGGGGTATAGTTCCAAGATTGTTTCCGTTAAAACAGACTCATTAGAGTTTCGAGAAAATTGTTTAGTTGCGAACGACTTTTTATGTGTTCATTTATCCCAATAAATAAATGGGTTAACAATTAGATATCTTCTATTGGTAATTGAACCATAAACACATAATGTAAATAACCGTTGACAGAGTTTAACATAAATATTGACATACGCCATCTTGATCTGAAGTACGATATTTCGCCAGTTTTGTTTTATTACCCACTGTGTATCGTTTTATTAAAGAGGTGTTACTTTAAGTGTTAATATTAAAAGTATTATTACCTGAGGCAACGAAATTATCATTAATAACAAAGATAGGTTGCCAGACAACAAAATATACACCCACTGCAGCTAAGTCCCCCAAGCAGTCCAATATAGTCGTCGCATATTTATTATTTGTAGTTAACGGGTGCATTTAAAGGAGGCAAGTCTTTAACTCAATATCACCCATAACTGATTAGAACTAAGAGTACAACAGAAACGATTGAATGTAAATCAGTTTATATACATTCTTGTTACGGTATTATATGCGTTGCGACCCATTTGTGTCCATTTCTAGGTGCCAAAAAATAGCGATTTAGCACTTTTAAAACGCACTCGTCCACAAGATTTTACAAATTGATCAAGGGTGAGTAATTATCGGAAATTGTTGAAAATCAATAAAGTTCTTTGTCTCAATGGCATACACATTGTGTATAAATTCCATGTCAATCGGATGATCACTTTAGCCTCTAAAGGTAATTTATCAGTGGGTACATGGCGACAATATACATCACATTTCATTCTAAAAATGGTTATCTTGGATTACACTTTATTTTTGACAAATGAAACACAAAGCTGTTTCCGGATCTCACAGGACAATATCAATATTAGCTTTTATCACCCAATAATACATTCTACAGTAGATATCGCTTGTGTGATATATTTCATAATCTACAAGGAGATATCGCTTTACATGAATTTGATTGGTCAGTTGAAAAGGAACTACTTTTTTTATTTTCAAAGAACAGTTCATTTCTTATTAAAAATAACTTTATTAAATTAAAAATGAACTATTCTTAGTCAATTGACCTTGATGGAAACACTGGGTCAATATAAAGGACTTTGCAATGGTTGAATTGCTGTCAAAAAATGATGTATCACTACGCCGTAATGTTCAGTAAAAGTGAAATCTACAGCAAAGAATTATATTTATCTATTTGTGCATGTAAGAAGGGATTGGGTGATAAATAAAATCTACTACTCGTCTTTTTTTATATCAAAAAATATCAACACTCGTTGATAAAGTAAAAAAAACTCGGCAGAGCCTCGTTTTTTGTTACTGGTAGGAGATTCTCTATCTATATCTTAGAGCTTCATTTGATATTTATTGTCCAAATGTCACTTAGATAGGTTCTAGAACATAAATAATAGCTAACGACGATGGCCTAATATGACGTTAACCTGGGCGGCCGTTTGTTCAGTGTTTGATATGATATGCACATGTACTTGCCAGACGAGGAAAAAAGAAAGTCCCATGTGTCCAAAGAAAATAGTTCAGTAATCTAGTATTGGGTCAATGGGTTAGCTGACAAAGAACAAACGTGGCTTTGTTCCATACTTACATTAAGGTAAATATCATAAAATGTAGATTTTAAAGTAACTCTATACATCTTTTAGAATTAGAATGTATTCCATTATGTTTTGTTGCTCCGTTTTCTAACACCAAATTATCTGATATGAAGTTAAATATTTTAATCTGATTCTATAAATATTCTTGATATTTCAGAAATCTGGAGGATTTTCTCTCAAATGGTTTGTGTGAGAGGTTTTATTATAAGCTCATATCTGTCTTTTTATAAAACCACAAACTGATAAAAAGTTTTGCTTTAAGCAACTGATATATTACAGTATACCTCGAGTATAATTAACTTTAGATAATATAAAACAATGTTAGGGCGGGGATCATATTGTAAATAATAGTGTAAAGATACGACAAAAATTCTTTCTGCTCGTATATCAAAGCAGCGTTCGTGTAAATTGTTATATACAACGGTCGTCCATAATGAGATTCTTTGATAAATCCGTTTCGTGTGGACAAGCGCGAGGGCGGTGTTACAAGACTTTATCAAAGACTTGTTTTATTTAAAAGTACAAAAGTAGAAACACAGTCTAACATATGGTATATTCATTTCAATAATCCGCTTTGGTACAAGACTCTTTGGGGAACGACACAACTCCTTGTCAGTTCAAGCTACGTAGACTAGGATATTATGATCAACAGCGCACCTTTTAGAACATTACAAGAATACCTGAAACATCCATTGAAAACGATAGTCTCCATAACTACCGAATGTAAGAAATAGCTTGCCATCGCACATGGGTCGATTTTTTAAATATCGTTGTTACTCACAATAAATATAATACAAACAAACAAGAAACGTGTAAGCCCACGAACCTGGAAATTAGCCACCATACTGAGACCAAGAGCTGATAGAAATCCCATAATCAACGTAGCTACATTGTACTTGCGATCACATGGTGGTCGTTTTGCTGCTATTAACATTGCCTTCATGGTTAAATACCGAATATAAACATTAAATGCCACTGAAATAAAATATTTTAGATGATAAAATATGGAGTCTCCCGTCTCTAATGGTTAATAACGCTTGATGGTAAAATGTTACAAGATTGAAAACACACGGAGGAGATAACTGCAGTAATATTATAATTGAAGAAACCGCAACTTTCGACTAGGCTATCAATAATGGACTCATGATAATAGAATTATTACTTCCTAGTATTTCAGTAAATATGGAATAAATATGGATCGTCTATTTTGTGATAGTTCCTTTAATATAAGTAGTTAAATACATGCAGATTAACTGCTCTGTATGAAGAGAAATGAAATGAGTTTTAAGGTCCTACGTTTCTGCACTGACATGGGCATACGCTATGGGTATACTATGATGGGCATTTTTTCCGGGTAGCGGCGTTACGGCCTACTCTTATTTCAATTTCTCTCAAGTCAACACCGGGATTAAACTCGAGATCAAGCCAACACCGGGAATGAGCCCGAGATCAAGGCCTCTCGGGATTGAACTCCAAATCTCCTGGTTAGCGAACGAACCAACGTATATGAAGACAAGCGTTATAACGGTTTTGTTAATCTGAAATGTGTCAAGAGTTTTGACCTGGATTTTAGAAGTAGTATAGAGTATACGAAATTAATGTTTTAAAGCAGGTGTCGAGAGATTTATATGACTCCCAACTGTTTAAAACATCTAGATAACAACATACATTACTAAAACTACAAACATGTTTTAAACATAACATTTAATCACAGAAAACCACCCATAGATTTTGACAGTAATTAGAGAAAAATACAAGCTTTTTAAAAAGATTTAAAATACCACTTAAAAATAAACGAGAAATACTGGCAGCTATTTGCCAAATATTTAAATAACCGATGACTATTCTTCAAAGAAGATGTCAATTAATATGTCATAACAACTATGATATAGTTTTTCTTAATTAGCCCTATAATAAAGAGTATTTGTAAGCTGTACGCCATTCTGATTTTGACTACCCAAAAAATCCTTGTTCTACATCAATTCTTAGATATATTCATTCTTATTTTATACTTGGTAAATTAAAATAAGTTTATTAATACTTACAAAGTGTTGCTCCAATGTTTATCAGCTGGGCAAATATACATCTTTCTGGTACTTTGATGGCTGTATAACTGGAAAAGCAAGATCTAAATAAATTCACGTAGTTAGACACTGTCATTACTATTTAGATCGATGGTATTATTGTTACTAATTTCAACTAATACTTAATCCTAGATAAAACATATTCATTCTGGTATCTAGCGAAATATTTTAAATCTAAACAAAAAAATATGTGTGCATTCTTTGGAGTTTGTATAGACCTGTAAAGGTTTTTAATTGATGGACAGTTGGGTTGTGTCATATGTTTAATACAATCCGTAAGTAATAACTTCCAGAGGTTTTCCCATCAAACGCTGTAATCGCGGGTAGACGTGGTGGGATTTAGAAGTTTTAATCACGTAGTATTTGACGAAGGATTGATGATCAGCAACGGTAATGATATGTTTTACACAGTAGCCTTCGGCTCTTGAAATTTATGTCCAGTCAGTTAAATAAGTGATGACTTGTGTAGTGAAAGACGCAATATATGCACAGTCTTTCTGGAACACCTTATACCCCTAATATTTCTTATTAAATTTGTGTTTTCATATATAAAATTTACTCAACAGTTAATGCATACTGTGGGTATGATATTGTTAGGTAAACGAGCTGATATTTATCTAAATTTGGCGCCCACAGTGAGTAATGACAAGATAAGAAATTTCTTTATTTAGATGACATCCATCCTCTCACCTGTTCTAACATAGCAGCTGAGTTATATAAAAAAATAGAATACAATCAAGGGCTAATCTTGTAACTAAATTAAGTTCGCTTACCCTTCCTTAATAGTCTGGTCATACACTTAAGTATTTTATCAACACTTTATGATGTTTGAAATTGTCCATTTAATCATGTCATTGTCTGGAGTAGGGTGTTTTAGGAGATATGGGATTTTCCGCCCATATTCGGTTGAAATGTTATTACATTGTGTGAAATTACATAATGAAACTAATGCCGTAATATTAACAATAATCGACGGATTTTAATATTTGATACATTTTGACATTTTTGATTTTCGAAGAATCTTCGGAGATATTAGGCGCCAAATTTTGAAATCTTTACGAAAAACTTTTTCATTAATGAATATTTTTTATGGCATTTTAGCCAGGATTAAAGAGTCATCTGATTTGAGCAAAAATGTGAACATTTTTTTTTTCTCGATAATTTTTCATGTCCGCTATTGGCTAATTCATTTCATGGGTTCTAGTTTAAGTAGTTATCGCCCAATCATATGCCACATTGTGCAAATTCATAGTCTGTAATAATATGAGTAGTTGTTGAGAAATAGACAATTTTGCATGAGTCGCTTATCATGTTATTTTGCCTGTAAAATAGACAATTATTATTGAACTTTCATAAAAGGGTCACCATTTGATGCCTAATGTCACGTGCGACAAATCAATTTAACATTTTCACTGTCACCGGAAGTGGCGCCATTTGGATAAAAACTGTATTTTTAGCCTTCAAAACAAATATTTTATTCAACTGAGTAGTATTTCTTTTTTGTTTATAATCAAGCTATTTGATTCCAATCAACAAATAGAATGAACAAATGCGGTCATATAGATATCACAAAATGGCTTTTCTATTAGTCGCTTTTCAAGGTTTTGCGGACATAAAAGTGTCAATTATTATTCGATTTTCATAAATTCTTTACCATTCAGCATTTTCATTATCACCGGAAGTAATGTCATTTGGAAAAATGTGTATTTTTAACCTCCAAAACAAATATTTTTTTGAAGTGAGCGATATTCATTTTTCGTATAAAATTTTGATATTTGATTCTAGCGGGCAAATAGAATCAATCAATACGATCATATAGATATCAAAAACGTGTTTCTAACATCTTCATTTGCAAGATTTTTCACATTTTCATTTCATTTATTGCCCGATTTGTATAAAAGAAAAGCTCATATGCTCCGTCGTGCACATTCTCAACTTTTTTATACCGATAATGTTTTCTGTCAGCACCGTAAGTGACGTAATTTTCCCCAAAACTTCTATTTTGACATGTCGAAAGGTCTTTTCAAAAGCAACTATTGATTTTTTTTTACAAATCTAACACATCAAGATGAATGCTCCTACAAGAAACACAAGTTTTTTTTAATTTCGGTTTTGCATTTGCGCCATTTTGATTTAAAGGTGAAAAAGGGTGTTAAAATGGGCTATTTACCATGCATTCAGGCTTTTCATATTTTAATTTATTTATTTACAACTTTCATAAACCTGTAGCATTAATCCATACGAAGACAATGTATGTCAAAATTAGTTAGCAGTTGCCGAGAAATAGGCAATTTTGCACGAGACACTTATAATTATAATCCGATTTTCGATTTTGTTTTTCACCATGTGATGTCTAATGCCACTTTTTCTTGGCGGAACCAATTTCCCATTTTTACTGGCGTCATTTGGGAAAAAACTGTATTTTTAGCCTTCAAAACAAATATTTTATTTAACTTGAGTCGTATTTGTAATTTGTTTATAATTAAGATATTCGCTTCCAATCAGCAAACAAAATGAAACAATGCAGTCATATAGATATCACGAAAGGTTTCTAACTTGTTCAGTTGGTTAGAAATAAACGATTTTCTACAAGTCGCTTTTCAAGGTTTTTGGTCCATAAAAATGTCAGTTATTATTCGATTTTCATAACATTTTCACCCTGTGATGCCTAATCCCATTTATGATTTCGTAAAACTAATTTAACATTTTCATTATCACCGAAAGTTATGTCATTCTGGCAAAAACTGCATTTTTAGACTCTAAAACAAATATTTGTTTGAAGTAAGTGATATTCATTATTCGTATAAAATTATGATATTTGATTCCAATGAACAAATAGTATGAATCAATACGATCATATAGATATGACAAAGGTGTCTCTAACTTTGTTTTAAAGTTAAATGTATGCCTCAAATATTTACCTTACAGATCGTAGTGTTAATGTAGGACTTGCGCTACAAATATTCTACACGATTCATATTACATTTATATTGGGCCCTTCAACATCAGCTCTTAAACAGGCATTATGCAAGAGCTAAGTCTAATTATAAATTAGATCTTTATTTAAACAACAAGACCAAAATCAACTCTGTAGACCCACGGATGGCTCGGCTACAGCTCGGATTTAAATAGGATTTCACTAATTGATTAAATCAAATAAGGGGTAACCTGATGAAAATACGTCAGTTAGATCGAGGCTAAATGATAGAGTGTACTTAGCGAGCCCGCTGTAAAGCGTTTCGGTATGCCATTGAAAACTTTACTTGATAATCGAGATATGTAGGTGGAGTTAACGCCTGTCAATCAAACGATCAGCGAAGGTGAAGATACAATTCGCTACCATTTCTAGGCAAATATTACAACGATGATAACTATGTTCAGAATAAAGTAATTTGACTTCTTTCATCATCTACTTTTGAACTGTTATAGCAAGAATGGCCAACTCTCTATAAAAATCTCCCATAATGTATCTTTAATATTAGTGGGGGTTGGATGGCCGAATGGTAAGCACGTGCGCGCTGTATCATAAGGTCTGTCATTGAGTCAACTGACGTGGTATCGATTCCCGGGTTGCACGTGATAAGGAGTGGGGTCGCCTGTCCAACCTCGTGGGTTTTCTCCGGGTCCCCCGGTTTCCTCCCACTGCTAAAGACCCCTACGCGCAAGTGAATTATTGAAATAAAATTGAACCATATGTTAGTCCCAAAATGACCTAGTTTATGTCGAATGGACGTTAAACCCCATCTCTCTCTCCCCCCCTCTCTCTCTCTCTCTTAATACTAGTATTTGATATTAAATACTTAATTCCTAGTCCCTAATGTGTCTACAACCTTTATATATCTCTACAAAGCGTACGTCTAGTGATGCAAATCAACTTAACATTCCAATATCATATCAAGAAATAAGCTAAATCGGTGGATGTTGGAAAATAAGAATAAATTATTAATAACAAACAGAACATTGACATATGTTCTAAGTTAATAATTCCATGTTTTGCTGTCGGTTCCGGTTTCTTTGAGAACTCTTGATGCCACAAGCTCAATTTTACTGAAGCCGTTTTATTTCCTGTGGGGTAATTTAATAGCAATGTTAAAAGGGCATGTGTGAATGTTAAAATTATGAATACGGTTTTAGGGCTTAATGCTTATGGTATTCAGGAGAGAGAGAGAGAGAGTTTAACGTCTACTCGACACAAACTAAGTCATTTGGAGATTAACATATGGTTCAATTTTATTTCAATTCACTTGCGCTTAGGGATCTTTAGCAGACTGAAATCTCTGTTTAGTTTTAATAATCCCCCACCCCTCCTCTGTCTTTCTGGGTGATTATATCTCTACCCTGTTTTATCCTTGTTATTGGAAAGCTGGCAAAAACATTTACAGCATTATGGAAATGGTCCTATAACATAAGTAGAATAAAATCAGGTATAATATCTGTTTTTACAAGTGTAAATTATTAAGTTATGTAATGGGGGTATCTCTAAGTTTATATGTTGTTTTATTTCTGGCCAATTATCATGCCAAATACATAAATAAGTGAAATTTGTCAGTTTTAGGTTAAGCCATTAAGATTTTGTGATTATATTATGTTCGTGTACTTGTACATGGTCGTTTATTTTCAGTGTGGAAATTCTACACTTTCGGTGCATAAAAAATATAGTAACCCTGTTGGAAGCATGTTTAGTAACCATTAAATCTGATTTTCAAGGACATATTTTTGAAGAAATTTTAACTGCGGTGTACTACTGCTTTCCATTGGCTGGGATTTTTTTTATTATTTTCTTTAGCCGATTAGCTCTGGTAGGAAAAGGCATGATGAATAACAGGTCGTCAACACAGTGTTGATATTTAAATCTAACAATCCTGGCAACTAATGACACCTTACTTGCCGAACGTGACCACGTCAGTGGGAATGGAACTGGAATAAATCGAGAAGGATCGTTTTGTACTCAACAGTAATGCTGAGGGATGGGAACCCGGCTTGTGTCGAGAAGAACCATCGGGTTTTTTTAAACCCAGTTCTCACTTTGCAGTGTCTAGTCGTTCGGGAAGTACGAAAAACAGAGGTCAACCAGTCTACACATTAGCGTGCATGTATTAGAAGCCTTTCATGTAGATGGAAACATCGGTGACTGGACAAAATTCTAGCTTCCAATTTCATCGTTTTAAACCATTAAATTGATAGTCTCAAACCAACCAAAATGTTGCATTGACGACATTAAACCCCATCCGGATCATTATTTTCGATCAGGAACATTCTATTCGCCAAATCAGTTTACAAGACATATGGTTACGGCGTCTGATATTAATCAACTTAGGTAACATTAAAATATGGCATTCAGTAAAACCAAGGCAGTCTGTGGCCTTTATGACTAACAGTGCCACTTCTATATAATTTTGTATATGCTATTCAATAACAACGGGATACAACTTGTTTCTGTAATGGTGTCCATATATTCTTGTAAAGATGAGTACATTTTGCTAGACAGTGATATTCCAGCAAACATGAGTGCATATGATTTAAATCGGCTGATTTGACATTTTCTACATATGTAATAATTTAATGTTAGTTATGATATTAAGATATCTTACCTGATGTAAGGAAAATCTGGTTCCACATGACCTTGACTCACAGATACAGCATATCTATAAATACAGATAAAACACAAACAGGTATTATTTATCACTAGTATATTAACAGAGAAGCATCATTTCTCTATTACCCACCATACCCCCTACACTAGTCATGATGGATGAAACGTCAACATATTATAGTACTACATGTACACCTGAAGTCACAGCTCAGGTAACATGGCTCATGATTGAAATGTTATTTACGTCAGGATAAAAGAAGGTGTGTGTGGGGGGGGGGTCTAAGTTCAGCAACCTTTTTTTACAATTTTAAACTGTACTTGCTTCTACAGAATGGCAGCTTATTACTAATGTCACCATCACGTTCCATTGGTAAAAGGGTGGCACCATTTCAGGATCTTCGGAAACTGGAAATGCGTGAAAAGTAATGTCTGTGTAATGTCTGAATTCTTAAATAATCAATTGAAAATATTTAAACACAATTTTGTTACTGCGAATTTTAAAATCCGCGTGACATTAATAATGGCGATTTTTGCTGAAAACTATGATTTATCACTTTTCGAAGCAATGACGAGTTTTCTAGCGATTTCTCTTCAGATATATGATTTAATATACTACGTCTGTCATCAATATATACATTTAAAATATAATCAGTAAAGTTACATTTAAAGATGATAAAAAGTCTTTTCAATTATTTATTTGTAAAAGGATAAGAGAAATTTGGCTGAGAATTTATCATTTCATAACACATATTACCAGAGCAGTATTAAAGGGAGCCACCAAATTTGTTCCAAATAAATCTATCCATCATACTGACATACAAATAGCAATTGTGTGAGTGTGGCGGACAATAAACAGATAGTTACATAACACTCCCTCTTTTCACTGTTGATGCAAGAGTCCCAGTGACATATTCAACCAGGGGCGGCCCCATGCAAACTTAACCCGGCCCTGCATATTACACATTTGATTCCCCCCATGGAAGTCTACCAGTATAAATTTTACATTATATCATCCATCAAAACCGTCCACCGATGCATAGTTTAGAATTTTAATCGTTCAAAATTATTCAAGAAAGCAATGATCGATATCTATAGACATGTAGTTTTGGGGGTTTTTTAAGTATAGGTATGGGTGGTCTATTCAAAACCCATATCATATTTTTACGAAGGTTTAAAGTCTTGAGTGTATGTATGAGCAGCATGTCAATTTAGTCGTTTGGTATCCATATAGAAGCATATCATATATACAGAGGAAATAAACCTGAAGTACTCAAGTAGACAGTATGGAATATTGAATGTTTTCTTTGTGCACTGACTAAACGGGGAATCACCAAGGATATTGACTTGTGGTGATTAATTTGTACATTTAAACTAATCGACTGAACTTATACTGCAAAAATATACAGTTTTCGGAGCTTTGCTCCGCTTCTAACCATATACATCGGGGGAAGATGCTTTATAACACGGCCTGATGTCTTAATGAACCTATTACTTTGCCATCTGCAATTATATTACTTTTATTGTAAAACACTTTTGAAAGGCAAGTGAACTCATGAAAAATTCAATTAAGGTCAAACTAGGAGAGTAGTAATTGGAAAGTCCCTGTAAAAAAAAATGTATAAATTATGACGGAAACGATTATCGCTTTAAAAACAAAGACTTATCTTTGAAAACTGTCTGAAACGGATGTCATTTACTAATCTGTGAAGAACAGTAGTCAATCTAGCTATTATCTTCAAACGAAAGAAGTATAAAAGAATGCGCCTTATCTAAATAAACTGTCTACTACAATAATGACTAGTGTTGTGTTATTTGGTAATCTGTGGTACCACGTTTTGTTCAATTACAGGAACCAAGATAAGCTTTGGGTTAAAAGAATTCAGCACTTGTCTAAAAGTCTAGAAATAGACATGGTACTGCCAGATATATCTTTTCGTCTGATTCCTTATAATACTAGATAATGTCTACATGTTTATATGTGGGGTATCAACACAGATTGCGCCGTTATTCACGACTAGTCCAAAAGTTTAGATATAATTGCAGGCGAAACTACGCATCTTAACGCCGCTGATGGTCATTCGCATTTTTCGAACAATGTGAAGTTTTTAACGGAATAGTCAATCCTAAAATATACTCAAATTAATTATTTTAACTATTAATTGGGAAAAAATTGAAATAATTAAAATGTAGATAATCCCGGTGCTTGTATGATTGTAGATGGCGCTGGCTTGTTTCGACAATACCCTGTTTGTATAGTCCATACTACGGACGCCGAATGTTGATAAATTTTCAGTTGGTCATGTAGTTGAAGATACTGAACGGAAATAAACTATTTTTTGTATCTTTTATTTAACTATCACCAATTGTAATTAATAATTAATGGGAAAAACATATCCACAATTTTTAATTACAACCTGGTGTTCACAATGACCTACTGTACGTCATACTGGTGACAGCAGTAGATATCGTTTCTAAATCTGAAAAGGGGTAACTTTTGGGACTTGTGAGCAGGACTGCATTATCGAATTCGAAAGCACTAGCCGAGTCATAATTGGTTCAATTCACTGATTAGGGCTATCGGAGAATTCTAGGCAAGTGTGGTATGCCTATTTACTTGATAAAATTTGGTCAGTATCGTTGTTTAAGTGCTCTACTCTTCAGAGATGGTTATCAGTTTCTATAACACATGATTGCTATAATATAGATGGGCAAGTGGACACTCAATCTAAATCAAACACTTCAATTGCATCAAGCGGTTAGATTGTTTACACTGCTTGACCAGTGGTCAACCGTCTACAGATTGTTAAGCAGATGCTCTCGATTTAAAGAACCCTTGGGATCGTGATAAAATTACGGTCTGTATGTCATGTCATATCCAGTCTACTGATGGAATGATAGTTGAACCATACAATATACAATTAACAAGCGTCTGTTTTAAGTATGTGGCAAGTTGGAACGTGACAGGAATCCATCAAAAATAGTTCATTTATTCAAGCAAATAAATAAATCCACTGCTTCGAAGAAATATCTCTTGATTTATAATTTAAAGATAGGTTTCCAGGCAACGAAACACACGCCCACAGCAGCTAAATCGTCCGTGCAGTCAATAAGAGTTATCGCATATTTTTACTTTTTTCGGTAATGAATCATTTATAATACACTAAAATCCGATTAAGAGTAACAACTCATTAAGTAATTATCAGAAAATCATTAGAATTTGTTTGGTTTTTATAAAGTTCTGCCCCATGCTAACGTTTAGTATACGAAACATTTAATATCATGGATTTAGCTGTTCAATGAAAATCAATATACTTGTTCGTCTCAAGACCTTAAACTCTGTGTATCAATCTGAAGTCAATCGGATGATAACTTTAGCCTCTAGACAGTCACAAGATTTTTCAAAGTTATCAAGGGCCATAACTTTGGCAGTAATTATCAGAAATCGTTGAAAATCAATAGGATTCTTCGTCTCATGGCCTCAAACAATCGGATATTATCTTCAGCCTCTAGAGCACCCACAAGATTTTTTGAAGAGATCAAGGGCCATAACTCTGGCAGTAATTATCGGAAATCGTCTCATGGCCTTAAACACTGTGTATAAATTTAAAGTCAATCGGATATTAACTTTAGTCTCTAGAGCGTCCACAAGCAATTGTGGACGCCGGACGGACGGGGCGACGACAATATACGACCACATTTCAATGTGGGCGTACAAAAAGGAAATTGATCAGGTTGGCATTTTGCAAAAGAAATTTGGGTATATTTTCTACTTAATTTAGAAGTTTCATTGAATTGAAATCTCATCAAATGGTCACATTTGTAATTCTGCTCTGAACACCTTAAACCATGCTGCCATTCACTAATATACCAAATGCATGATAAGGATATAATATAATTTATGTTTCTATTATCAATGAATGCTATATTATAGTCTAGACTACATTAGTTATCATTTAGATTTACTCGCGTGTGCATAGTTTGAATAGGGTTACTTATTCTTATTAAATATATGTTCTAAGCTTAAAAAACAAAATATATAGCCTACATACAAGAATTTTGGTTTGTGTATTGATGAAATTTAATGAATCGGCATATTACAAGAAGGGTGTAATGAATAATATGATATATTAAGATCGTAAAATTATATCTGGGATCTTCAGAAATGACATCCTTCATTTTCGTTTGACAGGAAATAATGTGCACTTAAAGAAATTGTGAAATGAATTAATTGTGTGTTTTTTAAGATCTTTATACAAATTAGGAGTCATGGTGGATGAATGAGCAAGACACTGGCTCTCTAACCAGGGGGTCTATAGGGTTCACTCCAAATGTTTGCCGAGAAAGTGCCCTAGAAATTTCCGCCGGGTTTACCCTTGTCAGTGGTGCAGGACGGAGGGCCTGACGAGGACAGTATCAAGTCGTTCGGATGGAACGAAATCCGAGGTTCCGTGTACAAGCTGGCGTGCACGTGAAAGATCCCTTGGTAGATGGAATTCGAAATATTAGAGTAGGCCGTATTGCCCGGTTGAGGAAATTTCCCTCATATCATACCATACAGCAAGGTGTATCCCCGTCTTCATTAGCCATTAACCGAGAAAGTTCGCCCAGACTTTCTGGCGTGGTTCCCCCTTGTCAGTGATGCAGGATGAAGGGCCTGACAAGGACAGCTGTCTAGTCGTTCGGATGGTACGAAAAACCGAGGTCCCGTGAATACATTGGCATGCACGTAAAAGATCCCTTGGCAGTTGGAATTCGATATAAGAGTATGCTATAGTGCCGGTGCCCGGGCAAAATTTCCCTCATAGCACACTGTATGGCGTATACCCGTTTTCATTAACCCAGTCGGAGCAGAACAGTAGGACGTTAAACCCCATTTCATGTCTTTATTAGCCAAGTCGGTGCAGAAAAGTGGGACGTTAAACCCATTTCATTTTATACAGATAAATATGTTAACAGTTGCTCTTATTTTTGATATGTATTATATTTTAATTCTTTGGGTTTTTCTTTAAAAAAAACAACCCACTTAAGATAAAAGATACATCTCTTAAAGAAGGGAAAGGTACACGAGTATTAAATAACATAAAAGAAAACTTACGATATAAAAAAGGAAGCTATAATAAACAATGACGTCAGAATAGGAAGATAATGAATTCGTCTCTTCAAGAAGAAAAAACACAAAGCCATGTCTTCGTATTCTTCCTGTTCCTTTGTGGGTTTCTGAAACAGATATAAAAGGTATTGAACGTATGAAATAAATGAAAATTTTGTTATAATACGGACTCCTGTAAAAGTTTACATGTTGAGTTACGTTTGAGCATGCTTGTGGATGGATTTGGACCGCCTGGAATGCACATTGTTTAATATCTAATTTACATTAAATAGTTGTACATACACGAAACGTGTCACTGCCTTTGTCAAAACACTCGAAATCTATACACTATGAAGAAAATCAATATATGTGAATTTCAAAAACTTATTCCAGAGACAAAACACTAGTATTGGTTATTCCAAGACATGTTTCTCATAAAATAATAGAACAGGATGAAGTTTGTGGGTTATTTTGTTTGTTAATGCTAATGATGAATATAAGTTGGGGTTATCAATCTGACTTTCCATCATCCATATCAAAACACTGCCAAGGAGCTGTAGGCGGTCAGTGCCATGATGAACAAGAATAAGCCAACATTAGTAAATAAATCTTGAATATAATTCTTACACAGCTGTATAGATTGAGATATAAAGAGATGTCGAACAAACAACTCATTAGTTCAGATAAACGTGGGCAAGGGAAACAGATTTACTCTGGTTTTAACCGATTGTGAACATAAACCGATTCCACAGACGGCAGTGTGGAAATGTCAGAATTATCTATATATTTTGCTCAATTCATTACAAGGGATTTAGAGGTATAAATTATAACACGTATTTATGGAAGAACAATACTTAATTCATTTGGTCGACAAACGCTGGAAATAAAATAACTGTATGGTCAAAACACAATGGGGGTGCCGATGAGCCGTGTTTAAAGAGACATTAGCATTGTGGATTTTGTTATTTATTTGCCGATGTCTTGTTGGTGTGTGTGGGTGTGTGAGTGTGTGTGTGTGGGGGGGGGGGGTATGCAAACTTTGACAAAAACCCGCCATTCCATGACCAATGATACAACTTTTTATTATTTTTTTTTGTATTACAATATCTTACTCGGTGTAGGCTATATAAGCTTATTTTAACTATGACACTGTTCAAAATTATTGTCTTAAAAACACCACCAGAGGTTAACAATTCACATCACAGCAGCCAATTCATGCTTGGATTTACTTATTCAACCATAAAAAATAGGTTACAGAACGGGTTTTCAAACAGCTAGCTAGATGTTGATTAACACACGAGGGGAATTAGTAAGAAAATAAACAGTGTAATTTGAAGAGAGTAAGTATCAAAACTTCTAGTTAGAATGTGTAACCTAGTTTAATGGATGATTAGAGAAAACAAGAAGTTATTTATTTACATGATAATATACAATGTTTCTCATGTTAGTGCCTGACCAATCTATCGTCACGTGTGGGCTTTAAGTATAAATATTATTATCTATCTGTCTATTGATGATTGTTGAAGTGTGAAAATGGTACAAAATAAATCATACATAATACTGAACCCAGATACTATCTGAATGAATGAAAATGAGTTTAACGTCCTACTTTTCTGCACCAATCGGGATAATGAAGATGGACATACTTCATGTAGTGTACTGCGAAGGACATTTTGCTCTAACAGCGGTGTTTTCATCTACATGTAATGATAATATTCATCGAATTTCAAACTTTAAGGGTTCTTTTGTGTGCACACCAACGTGTAAGGGGGGCTTGTTCTTCCCACCCCAACAACCAGGCACCTTTTCAAGGCACGATTTATGGAAGTTCAAAAGCTAACCCAGCTACTGTTGTTTTGATTATATGTCCTTTAAGTACAACTCAGAATTATCACCACAAAACAACGACATAAATAGACACCGAAATTACAAGAGGCAGATTTCAAAAACAATTTCTGATAAACTAAAACGGCTTGAATTGAAGTCTAAAGGCATCAACAAAACTATAGGTTTTGAATTAGTGCTTTTAGACAGTGTTATATATCCTATGAAATAGGCGTTAGTTTAATGGTGATACAAATAGAATGTAGACGAGTCGTAAAAAACTAGAAAAGGTCATTGTTTTTTTTTGTTTTTTCAACCGATGAATTTTTGGTATATTGTCGTTCCTTCGTTGGTATCAATGCCGATTCACCTCTCATGTTTACCAAATCAACAACACCTGCTATCAATGTGACCCGAATAGTATTCAAAACACTGTCAAAAGTAATAAGTAACCCTACGACCTTGATGCTTACGGGTTCATTCACATTAATTCACTGTGAATATAAAACAATCTTTTCCATCAAAAATTGAAATTCCAGTCTATTATCACTATGAAGAACACTGCTGAGTTCAGTTTCATTGCAGGGAATAGTCAACGGCTGACTTAACTTGTGGGTCACGTGTTCACTCATCTTAATCTCTCGGCACTTATCACAAAAGAATTTTATATACATAATTTTCATAACAAAGGGATTTTTGAAACACATAATTTTCATAACAAAGCGATTTTTTTAATTATTGCAACTTGCGATCATCTGAATCTTAACGGTTAGTTTCATAAAATATTTGGACTACATTATAAAATTTGGGCCCTTGAATTTTAACCACTTGATTACATGCAGTATATTAATTCAATCAAAAATAACGTAGTGGTACATTTTGAAGGTGAGTCTATCTTATACAAAGCAGTTTCGGCGTCCCAAATCAAAGTTCAAAATATCTATGTATTTATATGGTATGTGTAATGACTTAGCACAATGTTTAATATATTGTCGACAATCTTTGAAAATCCACCTGCAAATTATCAGAAACCATAAATAACCAATATAAAGTAGTACTGATGAAGAAGCTAACACTATAAACGATAGTATAAGGATGCCAATAGGAATTGGTAAGAAAGGTCAACGATACAATAGGGTTTAGACCTTACGTCAACGTCAGTAATTATTTTGTCTATATTATCAATTGAAGAACATAATATAGTAGTTCAATACTGCCAGCTATTATGAGTACTGTGTGTGGAATTAGTGGAACATATTACAGACTGCACCTGGTTCCTGATATTCTACAGACATGCGAACATGCTTTCATCTCGTAAGTTAATAATTCCACGCTGGATGGCAATAAGCAGCCAACCTTTAAAAACGTTATTGGCCGCCGTTACTGCATCCATTATGTCTTGGAAATAAAATACGATGCTGTTTAACGTCATACTTTGCTGTTCCAAAAGGACTAATGAAGAGTGGTATACTCCATACAATGGGCTATGTGGGAAATTCTGCCCGTAAGTGGCATATCCGTCCACTCTTCGTCGGATTCCAATATTGTTAGGGTTATTTTACTTAATTACACGCTAACACACAGACGCTATTCCTATCCCCCCAACCTGCACCAGTTACCGGGGGTGGGGTGGGGGGCACGCTAAAAAATCCAGAGATACTTATCGGCCAACACCCATCTGCTGGTTAGTGGGGCAGCGGTTTACCCGCGGAGCTACTGTGGCCCACTGGTTGATTTATATTGATAAGGTGTTATTATAAGTAAAAATGGCTTATTCATTTGCCCGGCTTTCTTACATTTAACGCATTTGAGGTCACATTTACTCGCCCCCTCCGCCCCCACCACCCAAACCCACACACCTGCTCTTTCCCTATATATCAAGACCTGTTACTTCATAATAAAGGCTATTGTATGGTAGCAGCAAGTGTGTATTTAGTTCGTTAGATCGTACGATAATAAATCTGTCCACACCTTCGCAAGTTCATATCATTAATATAAGCGAATCATGGGTAAAGACTGCAACTGACCGATCAAAACATGCATATAAATTTGTGACTAAATGAACACCTTAACATGTAACTGGATCTTCTTCCGGTCAAATTTATCAAGCACAGTTTATCAAATTTTATTTATTTAATAGTCCGCCCCTCAGGACAAACCTAACCAGTTAAAGTAAAATTCAGCAGAATTCAAATAAACGAATGTCGATAACGTTTCGGTGATGAATGATCTAATTAAACAATCGCGTGTTCACGTGGCACCAGCATATTCCTGAAACGGTTCCAATTCCAGTATTATAAGGAAATTAGAGCACATTGGCATGTTTATACATAGGCCTACATATCCCACGAACACACGAAGACTTCTCAATAAAAATATAATGAGAACAATATGTGCATGTTTGTGGAAAATAGTATTCACCGGGGAGGCATTGTCCGGAGTAGGATTCCCTTTTCTCTCCCGTGTATTAAACAATGTGAACTGTTTTACTATTGTGCCTTCAAGCTGACCTATTACTGTTTATTATTCACCTTAGGCAAGGTATATAGACGATGGTGTGTAGCGGAAATGGTCAACGGTCAGGTTAGAAATTTACGGCCTGTTTGGTTCAACTTTAGTTATGGTTGATGTAATTTGTGTCTGCTGTCCATTACCAAAAAAGTCACAAAAGTTTAATCTTTTAAATCTATTACATATAATCGCAACAGGGTAAACGGCTTCCTTCAATGTATTTTTTAAAATATGTAATCAATTTATGGCTCTTTTAGTAAGTAACTGCTAAACAGGATACGAACAGCACCAGAGAAAACTATTTCAAAGTCGGTCTTTTTCGAGAATAAAGAAAATATTCTGGTAAATTTCATCACAAAAGTTTCTAATTAATGAAGATATCGTTAACGAATGATATGTACACCGCTTTTCATTTAACCAGTTTTTTATTTTATTATTTCTTTTGACATTTTAATGGAGAGTAGATCTCTCGTTGTCTTACTTATGTCCACAATACATTTATCATGGGTGAATCACAACCAATATCGCAGTGGGAGGTCCCATAACAATTGCATTAATACATCAGATGAGGTCATATGGATCACATTTTATTGTTTCAGCACAGCAATCATTTGGTCTGCCTGTTTTATGACAAATTGCTTCGTGTTATCCAGTAGTGAGGGGATTCAATAATTTGTCCATTTAATTTAGGTGGTCTATATAAACAGAGCTTTATGTTAGTTTTCACCACGTGTTTATAGACATATAGATGTGTGAAGAATAGAAGTTATTTTATTTCTTGTCTGTCTGTTCA